TAAAAATAGTAATTTAATAAACCGGAGAAACCAAGCAATCTGCCCAAATTGTAGGGGAGAGAAGGGATACATCCATATCTACACACATGCATCAATGAATAAGAATAAAGCAACTTTTTTATAGTTATACACATATCGATATACCCGCAATGATCGATGCTTATTTTCGTATCTATATCCCTCCATATAATCTTTTCTAGGAGTTTGCGAGGCGAATGATCGCGGGAGAGCTGGCGAACTCAATGAATGTACGTATATGTCCTACTAAAACGAATATACACTTCTTTACGACAGTTTTCTGTCTCACGACCTTTGGGAAGGCCACGAATTTAAGGACATCAGGGAACCGACTGCGGCCAGATAATTTTTTATTTTTATTTTACCTTCCCACCCGCCCCCTTTTGGTTTCCACCACACAGCGGGGTCTTGTGGCTGCAGGACCCCAAAGTCTGCCACCTCGTAGGTAATAAATAAATATATGTATTCTATCCGAATAGAGTGAGCGGGCCACGATTGAGGCTAACGGATGGTATATATATATATAAACATACAGCTACCTGGTGTTAAACTTTGAGGGTGTGGTGCATCCACTGTTATTCCGTTCATCCCTTGTTATTCGTATCTGGTTTGTTTTTTATTATTGAAAAACTCAGGATCCGGCCAGCGACCCAGAAGATTATTCTAAAGGTTTGTTGTTTTGTTCTTTTTACACGAATGATATTTAAGTGAGTACGCCATGGGTTTTAAAGAGCGCAAGCATATATTTGGCATGACAGGGGGAGGGTGCAGCTTCCAAACTTGGCCGTGTTGCTGAAGGCAGGAGAGGGCGGCAGCAAGCATGAAAAATGAAGATGATGGATGAGGGAGAAATAACAGGGGAGGAAAGCAGAAAACAAGCCAAAAATATTGTGAGCACAACGCTGTTTCTTGTTGTGGGCGATCGACGGCGCAATTGGCTACTAAGTTACCCACTGAAGGCGACACCCGTTTCCGCTGAATATGCTGCGTGCATATCTGTCGGGCTTTTTGTTTTTTCTTTTGGTTTGTTTGTCTCCCGCACATTTATTTCTCCGTGC